TTAAATAATATACAACAATAATTTCTAAAAATAATTTAATAAATCTTAAACTAGAAAAACTACGAATATAGGTAGGTACTATAGGTATACTTATGAGTTATGACTTGATTATTGATTAGTACGAAATATAGAGAGTGAGTTACGTATAAATGTGGTTACTTAAAACTTTTGGTCGATTTAGTTTTACTACCTGGTTTTACATCAATAGGTTTTATATTAGTTATTTCGGAATACGAGTAAAATACCAGTGTAAAGAGGACGCTACACTTATATTTGTTATCTCCGTCTTACAAATGTGTAACATGGCAAATTTACACTTRGCAGATCATGTTTAATTCTGTTAGTTTAAAAATTAGAGTAAATTTACTTATTATGAAACTTGATGGTAAGAACTTTATATATGTGGGTTTTTTACGATAACTTAGTTTTTAAGTGAGTTATGAGCATTTTTAATTTATCCTTTTTTATATACGCATAACTTACTATAAAATTGAACTATTGTGAAAAACCCACATACAAACAAGATAATGTTTCTTACATTATCAGCTTATCTCATATTTATAACATCAAATTTCATATTAGGTCGATTCACTCTAAATTTTAAATTAACGGAGCAAAACGTGATCTGTTGAGCACAAATTTGTTATGTTATGCACTTGTAAAATGGAGACAACAAATGTTTGTGTAGCGTCCTCTTAAAAATTTGTATATAGATATGGTTATCAAATTAAAAAAAGATTAAATTCAGCTAATACATTTTTATATTAATACGTTTTTTATCGTTATTTATTTATAGCCTATACTATAGGCCCTATAGGAATCACTTWTTAATCGGTATAATCAGTCCCATAGTCTTATGTGTATAATTATTGTGAATCAACTTATAAAGAATCATTGAAATTAAGGGAAATGGTAGCTTCACAAATAATATTATATTATATCACTAGCTTAAGTTTGTTTAAAAAATAATGTATACATAGTAAATAGAAATTATTTTCTCAAATATGAATATAAAATTGTTCACAATATATTAATAATGAATGTTAATGATACTATTCCCTACGTTGTTTTTAATAAAGATAAATAATTTTTTCTTTATCTATTTATTAAATATCTTACCTAATGATTCAATAATACTAAACTGTGTTATAGTTGGTACTTGGTTGTAGGAGCAACATGCGATTATAGTAATAATAGTACTTAACGGTAGTGAACGTGGGGAAGAGTAGGGTAAGCAAGTTTCTAGAAAATAAACTAAATTTAAAAACAAAAGAAATACAAATTAATATAAATAACAAAATAAAAATAAATTATAAATCAATAACAGGTATCAATCATGGGAATATTGGATAACTTTATATTAGCGAAAAAAATTTCTAATCTATTTTGAAACTTGGTTTTATTAGGTACCAATATAAAATTATAAACGTTGAACTAAAATTATTATTATAAGTAATAACTTCTTTTTATTTTTCGCAATAATCGTGATGATAATTAGAGAGGGATAATTTGACCATTGAAGTATGGCTAAGCCCCTCCCTCCAAATTGCGAGTATGTTTTTGATTTAAATACGATTCCATAAATCATAATGAAATGCCGTAAGATACTGAATCCAATTTCATTATTTTCAATTCTCATCCTTTAATAAATAAWYATACTATAATTCATATTATATAAATTAAATTTTTTGTCTTGATATTATCATTTGTAGCAATTATTACTTCCTAACACGAAATGTCTAAATGCCTTGCGTCTACTTTACATATTTTCGTAAACTATATAGAACTTGGCTTGACTCGCTACCGCGTGTCTAGATATAAATGCGAGGCCTGAGAATTTGCAGGAGTCGCATATTTCTCTATATTAATTAATTTTTAGCAGACTAATCTAGAAATCCAAGCTATACAATAAAGTGTTTAAAAATTAATAAAAAGTATTTTCCATGTTTAGTCAATTTTAGGGAAAGAGTGTATATTTCTTAATTTTTCTACCTATTCAATATATTCTAAAAATAAATTGRTATTTTTTTTTCTTRAGCTACGYATTTTAATAATACTATTGAATGTAAAACTCAATATTATTTATTGTGCATATTTTAATCTTTATTACGCTAATACTCCGAAGTACTGTCTTTTCGAATATATTTTATTGATTCAATAAAACATCAAAATGGCAAACAGTTTTCCGAGATATTTTAAATATTATAAATTTACTTCTCCTTATCCTACATTTTTTTTAGAGCAAATTCAATGTAATAATATAAAATTTATTTATTTTTTTGGGAATTTTGAATTTTGATGAAATTTTTTTAACATTTTTTAATTTGTACATCTATATTTTAAAAAATTGATGTGCTTATTTACTTGCATATTTTTCCTTTTTAACTAACATAGTAAAATAGTTTGATAATTTAATTATAAACAATTATAAAAAGTTAAAAATTAAAGTTATTGTCTTACCCACGTATAAATGTCACTGTTTTTTTGTTCATATAGTTAATTCAATCGACCCATTAATTCAACATACCAAGTCGAACCTTATTATAGCCCATAAAGTGCATGAACGAAATAAAAATCAATGACATCACATATAATATTATATGGCTGCTCTTCACGCTATTTACATATATATAATAGGTACGGCATGGTAAAGGTAAACATTTCAATTTTATCCTCGACATACTGCGATATAATAATATGATAATGAACACATACAGTATATAAACCCTTCAGCCGAGTAGATTTATTTATCTACATCCGAGGACTATTTGAACCGATTAGTAGGTATATATATATATATATATATATAGTACTTATACATTTATATACGTATACTTAAATATATTATAATATGCAGATATGTAACATATTAAAAAATGGTATTTAAAATAATTGATATTTTGTGAYCCAATGACACGATATATTATTGTATATGAATAATTCCTACAAAAATGGTCTTCATACAATCATACTATATAACTAATATAAATATTAATATTAAATAGTATATAGTGCCAAAAACAGATGAGATACCTATGAGAAAATGTTCATATAGGGCATAGATTATTCTACTTATGTATATTTAATATATTTTACTAATATTTTAGAATTTTTGGTATTTAAATAGTTTATATCAGTACCTTCTTACTAGAAGAATTTGTGAAAATAATAGTTATGATTGAAGCACCTCCTATATTGGCTATATACACACAGAGGGTAATATATATTTAAATTATTTTACATATATATATATATATATATATATAGCTATACTATCGAACAATAAATATTTAATATAGTGACATATTAATAAAATTATTATTTATTAATATTAATATACTGCCGCATGGAATGAGTAAATAACAACATAATAATGGATACCGAAGGTCATCAAAATGCCACACCTATATGTGCGCGGACCGTTTTGACATTCCAGAACGTTTTTCACCACCACATAATGCATACCTATCTATATAATATGTAATATACATCGCAACCTGAATGCGTGAATACAATATTACATTGTACAACCAAATGGTATACAAAAAATGTAGCTATACATATATTTAGTATAGTATTAATTAGTGATAACAATTATATGTGTTTTAACTTATAGGTATACCTACGATTAGATATTTACTACGCAATCCGTGCAGCCATTAGGTCCTACGTCACGTTTTCGCATAAATAATCGCGTTGTGTACGTTTAATATATAATGTATAATGTATATATTATAATTGATTCTTTGTCTATATGTAAGTATATATTATTATATATACTATATTGCGTAATGCGTATACACACAAATCAATATTGATTATTCTAAACAGACAAAAACGGATTATTATTTATTAGCTTGCACATAGATCGGTCAAGTAACTATTATGACTTATTACTTTATTAGTAAATAATATAGGTGCATATTAAATCTGGGACACAATAATATATAATGTTCAAACTTTTGAACCAGAATCAAATAAGCCAAATTGTTGGAATTTCGAAGCAACGTCGATCAGACACGCGTATATGAAATAATAATAATAACACCGTTGAAGTCTCCGAGCAAGTTTTCGCGATCAACAGCACGGAAAACGAACATGCATAGCATACTCGTATGGACATATTTATTATTGTAATAATATAAAATTAGTATGATGTTTTTGAATATTCTCGGCGTTGTGGGCAATATAAGYGACTGGCGATTTCGAATTGGCTTGAGGTGGTTTTCATCACGTAAATGTTACCAATAATATCTAAAGGTAATAATTTAATATAGGTACCTACTAGATAAATAATAATAGTTGGGGTTATACCAGTTGTGTCATAGGCACGTATAATCTCAGAAAATATTGATATAAAATACATGATCGTGTACTGACATACTCCAGTGAAAGGAACACTGGCCACTGCTGCTATAATATTGTAGATGCAGAAATAATCTATATAGTACAGCTGACGTAGTCTATTGAGACGGATTACTACCTAGCTATAGGTCTTTCCGACTGTCCATGCAATGATATACTTGTAAATGATTTTATCGATAGTAGATACATGGTGTAAGCTATAAATAAGATTTTCGTCAAAGAAATAACACAAACGTCAAATAAATTGTAATACGTTGGAATGCGTTTGCAGTTATTAAATTATAATGTTATACACACACATTTACTCGATTCGCGTACATTTGCCTACGACGTTTGACTTATATAAAAAATATAAAAACCCATACAACCATTATATCATATATTACTGATGATTTCGACGGAATAGCGAGTTTTACGTACCTCGATAGCAACAACCAGCAGCGGTGACGAGACGAACATATGTGATTAGATCGACTTATCTTTGAATTTGGATCAACAGATCGGCTGCGAAAAGACTAACGCACCTCGCAAACTGTTACGATTATGTATAATGTTTTTTGGTTTTTTAAATTTTTTTATAGCAGGATTGGCTGTATGTCATCGACATCCGTTTGATCAGCCAGAATCTGAACAANTTTTTTTTGTCCACTGGTGTAGTACAGTGCCAATCTGTTGTCGTCGTTACGCCGTTGACGCCGATGATGATGTGCGATGATCCTCTTAGGTCTTTTCGGTCCAAGAAATTTCCACAACGACTGCGGAACACAATTTGCAACACTATTATTTAGTATACGATTTGTGGCGAGGAAATTCGAGATTTTATTATATATCATCTATCGTCTGTCCTCCTCGGGCAGACGGACGACACGGATGGGTGTGTGTGTGAGRGAGAGAGATGGACAATGATGGCGATAGAGAACGAGGGAGAGAGAGCGCGCGCGCTGACGTATTGTTTATAATAGGTAAGTAAATAATACCTACCTTGTTGACTACCTATACCATAATATAATAGGTACACGATCAATAATATAATATATTACACCGACAACATTCGTTCGTTGACGACGAATAATAATAACAATAATCGATAAATGTATACTACGCGCCGCGAGTCGGAATAATAATAATAGCACGGATCTCTCGTATTCGTGTGTGATACTGGTAGGTGTGTAAAAATTATTGTTACCTGCCTACAAATGATCGACGACGAAGACGATAGTAATAATATTATGGCCAATATGAACGTACTGCAGGTGGCGTAGGTACAACGCGAGAGATTCCGACGGATTCGGTGACTGTACTGACACGGGAAAAGAGAAACACGCACGGCGGCGGAGAAAACACAAAAACACAAAAACGCGAAACGCGAAACGTCGATGGTTGGCGGGTGCGTGCGCGTGTGTGCGTTGTTGCAGCGGTTGTGAAAGCCGCTCGCGACCGTCGTCGTTGGAGTGAGCTTGGTGTATAATATTATACGATAGACGTCCTGTACGACTCCTCCGAGTCGACGTCGACTACGACGATGATGACGACGACGACGACGATGATGATGATGATGATGAATAATAATAATACGTACCAACAGCAATGCGCGATACGCGACCGGCGAGAACAGGTGCCCGCGTCCGCCTTCTCTATTAGGTATATACCTGCAGCGTTGTTGTCGTAACACGCTCGACTCTGGTTACTGGTTAGCACCTATCTACCTGGCGGTGAGTGGCCGCGTTACGATACAATATATATGTTGCATTTTTGTGGTATTTGGTATATATATATGTATACGTATAAAGGTATCTCAACCAGGCACCTGCAGCAGCTGCAGCTGACTCTATAGTAATATCCGCAACCACACCAGCCGACCTACAGTACATATATTTTTTTATTATTGTTATTATTTATTAATTCCAAGTTTTGCTAGAGTGATAGCTAGTAGGTACAACCGCCGCAGTAAAAAAGYGACGTGTGTGACAGGTATACACAAAGCATATGGTACATAGTAATTAATAATTATTATTACCTACCGTAATAATACACAATTATATGGGAAAATCCGGCAAATGGACATATTTTGGACATTTGGATTTGGACTGCAGTCAATAAATATACAAAATATATAAGTTCTGCCATCTGCTATACGGTAGTCGAGTGTACCTAGTAATTTGAAGTATCTACGGCTAATCGTTTTTAAGTTAACTACACGGCTACACTAAAAACATAAAATTGATATCGTCAAAAACTGGTTTTGCGTAAAATTTCCCGTTTTTTCTTAATTTTACTTTTTTGATTTTTTGTCAAAAAATGATGGTAATTAAAATGAAAAAATCTGAATTTGTGATGTATAGGAAAATACTAAAAATTAGTTGGTACTGGGTAGGTAGTATGACAGGATCCGGTGTAATGTGCCCTAACACTAAAATTATATTTTGATGTTCAAAATGTTTAGCCATGACTAGTGACTACCTATTCTATTTTTAGTTTGTCTCTTAAGAGAACATSTACCCGYATGCAGAGCTGGATTAATGAATTAATGGCGCTGGAATAATTTATTTTATTCAAAGTATTTTTTATAATAATATATTCCAGTTGATATTTATTAGTTAAATAAGAAAAATATATTTTCTCAGACACCAAATTTACATTGGGTACATAGTTAATTTATTAAAAATACAATTTAGTTAAATGTTAAAATATAAAATATATAGTAAATTAGCAATAATACAAAACTACAAACAAAAGTCAAAAATGATTATTTAAAATATAATTTTCTAGATTTACTTGATGCAAAATCATCTAAAACGTCATCAAATGAAAGTATTACATTTGGCATTTTCAATTGACATAATTGTTAATGCGTTAAACCTATCTTCAATCTGTGTAGATCTTAGTCGATTTTTAATTAGAGCTAACTTTGAGAATGAACGTTCTGCTTCACAATTTGTCAACGGTATTATCAGGTATAATCTGAGTGCAATACATACCTACATTTGGAAAAACATCAATAAATTGTCATTTACGTAGAAGTTTTGCTATAGCACCACAACTGTCAATATCTGAAAAAACTATTTTGACATAATGATTAAAATGTGATATATATCTAATTCAATAACATGTAGGTTATTGTCACAGACAATTATTTCAAATGATTAATATGATTGTATTTTTAAATAAATATTGTTAAAATCATATTTTTCTAAATACCTATATATCATCTATAAGTGTAGAAAAGCTGCAGGCACATATTATTTTTTTGGGGGYGCCTTCTTTTTGGGGGACCCTGGGCTATAGCTCGCTCTTAGTCCTCTCTCTATGYCAGAGTGTGTTGTCTCTGTCTTACAAGCGCTTAACATTGCAATTTTTACGTTCAGCAATTCACGTGTAGCTCCGTTAGTTTAAAATTCAGAGTTAATTGACCTCTAATAAAATTTAAAGGTAAAATTATTATCTAGACAATCGCGTAGGTTTTTTATTATATTTTAATTTTAAAGCGAGTTTTGGATATTCTTAGATGTAAAAACTATTTAMAATTTTAAAATACCTACTCATAATTTATGATTCATAAACACTGCCTAAAACAAACATACAGGGAAAATGAAAATTTCAGTGAGTTTTGTAGAACACTGGATGGGTTGGAATTTTTCTCTTAGAAATAATGTCTCATTTTATGAGTATAATACCAAACCATATGCCATTGATTTAGTTAATACTTTGATAAAACTTATGTTTATGGGTCTTTTAGACAGATAGGTGTTCCAGAAGATACTAGATAGGGTTTTAGAAATTTTCTTACCACTATTTCCTCTTGATTAAACTAATGGAAGACTCTTGATTTGACTTCAACAGAGAGTTATCATAATCACTGAAGGTTGGAATAACCGTTTTTTGATACCGATCGACYAAATACATTCAAATATTTTTGTTTTGATGATCAAAATGAAGTTAGAAATTGCTACAGATGAAACTAAGTTAACACTGCAATAAAGTCTATATTTATTGAGAATTAAAAGAATATTGCCGCGCTTCGAAAAAAAAAATAAAATAAAGAAAAATCTCTGTTTGGAAATCAAAAAATAAAATAAAAACTTTCCAGAATTTTGAACTGCAATAGCACATACTATATTTTATTTATCTGTTTTTGATTTATTTATTTGATGATTACCTATCATTTTATTTTGCGTATTGTTACTTGACATTTGATTTTAACATTTTAATTTTATTGCAGTAGCACCAAATAAGACTTATTGATTTATTTTATTTATRTGTTATTTATTTACATCAATATAATAATAAATTAATATACAAATACATTTATTACTATAGAATATTTTTGGTAAGTACCAGTGCGACAACTATAAACTCTTGGGCACTTAAGCAGTTAGGCCCGCGTCATAGGCGCAACTAGGGTCAATTGGGTCAAATATTTAGATGGGCTAAGCCCCCTAGCCACCCTAATTGGGCCTATGGCCCGCGTACAAGGATTTATTTTAAGACCACAAATTAATATTATTATTTTAAAAATATAATATGGAATAATAAGTTACTTTATTAGTTATTAATTTTCGTAACTAACCTGTCAGATCAATATCGACAGTAATTTTTGTGTATATGTAGAAAAGTGGGGGGGGACACTCCAACAGGACCAAAATTGGTTTTTGTGATCATACCTATTTATTTAATTTATTTAGTCATGACTCATGATTCACGAGTCTATGATAGACAGTAGACGGTAGGTACCATGATACTATGATAACAATAAACGAATAAATAAGTAAATAAAATCCCTAGTTCCTAACTTATACCTATATTGAATATATCATTATAATATTAGGTATATTGTGTTTTAATTATTTAATTATAGAATGTAACTAATTAATTTATAAACAAGGGTTTTTCTTCATTGTACATACATTACATAACTTTTTCAGTTTATTATAAGTATTTAAAATAAATTTGTTTTTAAATTATTAACTAAATACTAAACATAAATACTAAGGCACATTGTCTTCTCAAAAAAATAAATAGAAATGAAACATTAATTTTCACGTTGGGTTCGAGCACTGGTTGGCCTTCCTCCTCATATAATTCAAAGTTAAATATTGTACATAAATTATAAAATTTAGTTATTGTGCTATCAAACAATCAAACACAGATTGTAAATAAATAATTCTACAAATAAAAAATAAAACTTTAAGGTTTAAACATTTAGAGTTAAATCAGAAGCCTGCTTAGGAATTTTGAGGGGGGAGCAGGGTTCAAAGTTTCACCAGGGTAAATTATCTGTTTTAAAATTGAGAAATACAATAATTATATGTAAATACGTACATGAGGAAGGAGGTTAAACAGCTTACCACCTTGAGCTCGTCCCTGAGTTAAATATTGTAAGATCCGTTCATCGTCGTTCCCCATTATAATATTAATTGCTATTATCTGCTGTTTGGTGATACAAAATTAATGGTTTCTGATAATTTTAGATAATTCATATAAATTATATGATGTAATTACTAATTATGTTTAAATGTTAAAGGGATATAAGATTTTTTTTTTAATAAGTAATATTCTTAGTTTAGGTTGATTAAAATGTTTTTTTTTAAAGAATCAGTAATTGAATTTRACTCAGAAATTTTTTTTTAATTTTAACCTCTACCTATTCAATCCCATAAAGTACCAAATAGATACAATTTTCCATCAGCAGTCACCAAAAAATTGAAGGTAGAAATATTACTAGTTCTATAAAAGGTGGTGAGTGATGTTTAAGTATTGAATAAACTTATTAACTACATAATATTATGAATATAATGCACATTAATAGTATGGTTTACATATGTAAGACATAAGTAGTAAGTATACATTACTTACAAAAAGATCTAACAATTCTTGACAAATTTTACAACAATTTAATAAAATAACTTTATTACAACAAACCTAGAAATTAAATATTACAGTACGTAAGAAACACGTTTTTATGTGTTCATAAAGTTATCCTCATATTGATTTGGTTAGTTCCATTTTCTTAATGTGGTACATTAGTTTTTAGAGTGATTTTTAAAAAATAGATTAATTATAAATAATAGTCATATTAAGAAAAATAAAMTAAAATCAGAAAAAAAATAAAGAACCTAATACTTCTAGAATTGTTTTTTTTCATTGGTTAAGTTTAGTGATAGGAGAAACAACAGTCATGATAGTTAATAATTTGTATGAAAAGTAATTTTTTATGTTTTACACTTAATATACAGTAACTGATGGTTTGTATAAATGTAATTAGAATTATAATAATACAATATGTAACTTATATTCTTAGTATATGTTATTGAGTAATAAGCATAAAAAAATTACTAAAAATGTTATGACTTCATAAAAATAAAACGAGATCATAATAAGAATAAAATCATTTAGTAAGAAAATAAATTAAATCTAGTGATTAATAAATTATTTCATARTTTCAAAAGTAGAAACTAAATGAATATGAAAACAATTTTTTTGTATGGTTAATTTTTTATTTCTGTTTAAAAGAAAATAGTTATTTTTTCTGTTTCTTGATATAAGTTTCATGCCCTCTTATAAATTTAACAGGAATTTTATATTGATCTGAAACAAAAATATACACACTTAATTAAAAACAATAACTCCGTTTATCAAACAAAAAATAATAAAATAGCTATCAGATCAACCACATATGACAGTTAGGGATGTTTTACATTTGCATAACATGTAACTTACATATGTTATATATATATTTATTTATAGTAATAATAATGTAACACTTTCTATAAAATCAAAATTTGACACATATGGGGCAATATTTKTGTTTAAATTTTTCTAGAACTTTGCAAATATCAACTAAAAGACCTCAACAATTAAGTTCAAATTTTTAACATTTTAAGTGCAAAGAAAATATTATATACTATTTTTTTTATTTAAAGGAAACTTTGTTTACAAGTAGTTTCAACACTTATGAATTATTATATCTTAACAATTACAAATATAAACAAAAATGTATATCATATAATACAATGTATCAACATAATTTGAAATAAAAGTATTACATAATTTTAAAGAGAAGATATAGGAAGAGAAGGCGAGATTAGATGATTGACAACTGTAGTTAATAAAAGTAATAAAGGGTTAATTGTGGCTTAAAAGTCCTCGAGAAATTCGGAGATTAAACTTTCAGGTGTTGGAGATGAAGTGTTGGCACTTGGCAGTAACATTGGCGTATGAACGTTCTTGTTTCTGGTTGGAGCTGGAGATTGATTTGATTATAAACGGTATGGTGTGATTGATCAAAAGCGTCGTCCTCGGAGAGTGAAGCATAACGATTTGGCGTGATGAATACTTTACTTCGGTTACCGCTAGATTTTGTTGGTGGAGATGATGATTAAGATAAATTGCGTTTCTAGGTATTCCGAGACATGTTTTGAATAACAATAATAAGTTAAGCTCCATTAGTGTAATGTGCAACAGATAACGGACAAACGAAAACGATGTCTGTTCATGTTCGGTGATAGACGTGAACTGATATTTAATCTTTATAGTAAATTGCCATTACAGTATGCTATGAATGGCTCAAACTAAAACTATTTGAAATGATAAATCAGAAAAATATAACAACTGTGTACTAAACACTAGGTCTATAACTATTGAGAGGACATTTTTTTAAAAATATTTGTTCTATAAAAATAATAATGTTTGTTCTATACCTATTATCAATAATAATAAAAATGGAATTTTGAACAATTATTAAAATACAATTTTATTTTCTAGTAAAATAAATGTATTCTAGTACACAGAAATATAATATCTTATTCTGAACATAGTCAGAAGCACTCAATGGGTTTTTAGCTAGTTAGTATAGAGATGTAAAATTAATGGTTAACATTGGAACAGCAAGAAGAATGTTTATTTTATTATATAATATATTTCAATGTTTTGTAAACCGTAATATGTAATTAAWAAAAAATAGGAGATTATCAGCTATTTAAGTGAAAAATTTAAATTATGTTTTATGTGCAAATGACTTATTTTAAATACTTATAATTAAAGAGCAGATTTTTAGGTTCTTAAAAGTTTTAAATATGATGCTAATATGTTCTAAAAAAACCTTAAGATATTCTCTAAATATTCTTCAAACTTGTAAATATGCATAGAATATGATTTTTTTTAAACAGTTAAATAAAACCAATAAATAACTGTTATGCATCATTCCTTTAGTAACAGGTAAATTATTTAAACATAAAAAATGTTGATAGTTGAAGATTATTTAAAATACGAGAGATGAACAAAATATATATTTTTTTATGAACAACAATAAAATATATTTTAAAATATGAAAAATAGGGTTAATATTCTCTTAAGTCCAAAATAAGCTTTAATTTGCAAAAAAAAATTTTTTTCAACAAACTCTGTGATGAATAAATCATCCTAGTAAAATTGCATAAAGCCAGTCAAAATATTCAAAAACCTTACGATCCGCTCTCTATTTATATTATATACTTGCCTGTTAATAATTTATAGACAAAAAGAATTTGAGAGCCTTGAATTTGGACTTGTCTATTTTGTGCATTTGGTATATCATTAATAGTTGTACTGGCAGCTACACCGTGTTGACATTCTTTACTAAATTTTAAAACATCGATACCATACAGCTCTAGATTATTAACTAGAGTTACCTGAAATGATATTGTAAGAAATAAAATTAATATTTTCATTGGATTACAGCTTTTTTTATTATGACTATAAACAAACCTTTTTGTTTCCACTTCGATTGTTTACAGTCATTTCAATATAATTAATTTTTTTCTTTAAGTTTTTTTTTGTTTCAGTATTCAGAACTGATATTTCAGTCCGATGCATTATTTTTGTCACTTCTTCAATTAAATCTTTAAAGGTTATTGAAGATTTATCTTTTCTTTGAGATAATATTTTTTTTAAAACATCATTTGTATTTACTACCCTAGAACAAAATAAATTATTTGTTGCTTAATCTAGACAAATCGATAGAAGATTTTTTCCAGATGAGACAGTAGCCACAAAAATACAAGGGCATTGAAAATAAAAAAGTGTTTTATTTAAATTATTACATATTAATTAATATATATACAGTGTGTTCACCRATTTAGGGAACACTGAATTTTTCGGCCAGATTTGTTTGGAATAAATCAATTTTTTTTACAAACTGGTGGTATATGAATACACGTTTTTCAATACATTTCAAACATTTTTAGAATTTGGTCTGCGCATGCGTAGAAAAAACTTTTTTTTTTATTAAATAGCAACACTTATTTTTAACACCATATTCGGATAGGCCTATTTTTTTAAAGTAATTTTAATGTATCAACTATGGCCCTAAGTTCAATATTGACTGAATAAGAGCCATGTCAATTTTATTAAATAATACATTTTTAAACATTTATAAATAATTCTTATTGGTTACTTTTTGAATATGTATACATATTTTTTTTAGAAATGTTATAAACAAGACTAACATAATATGGATACAACATTTTTTACTAAAAATCGACTAGGTACAACTGGTACAAGTGAACAATAGTTATTTTATAATTACACAATAAATTAAATAAATTGTTCACAAATTAATTATAAATTATTTAAAATAATTTAAAAGTGTATTATTTAATAAAATTGGCATGGCTCTTATTCAGTCAATATTGAACTTAGAGCCATAGTTGATACATGAAAATTACTTTAAAAAAATAGTCCTATCCAAATTCCGAATATGGTGTTAAAAATAGATGTTGCTATTTAAAAAAAAGTTTTTACTGCGCATGCGCAGACCAAATTCTCAAAAATGTTTAAAATGTATTGAAAAATGTGTATTCATATACCTCCAGTTTGTAAAATTGATTTATTCCAAACAAATCCGGCCGAGAAATTCAGTGTCCATATTATCTAAAAAGTGCATCAAAATATACTGTTTCTTCTAAAGGTGYGTACCCACTGTATGCAGCTTTCTTTGATGTTTACCGACAATCATCGGGAACCTGAAGCTTCAAATCCACACCAAAATTTGAAGCCGAGTAGCTAAGTTGCACACCAGTGKGGATGCACCTCAAGAATTTTGTGAGTAATGTGCAGTGGTCTAAATTAAACTACAATTATTGTATAAAAAAAACATCAATGAAATTTATAAATTGATATTGGAATTATTAATAACATTACTTGTTCATATTTTCTTTTCATTATTTTTTTAATTCCATAATTAAAAATAAAAATATTTATAAAACATACCTAATTATTAAACCAATTAAATTAAAAATATATTTAAAAATTTTATCTTTTAAATATTTATAGTAGTATGGCAATATCAAAATTTTAAAATAATCAATGAAGAACACTTAAAAAATAGGAAAACAATTAGTTAAATTATTATCAACTTTACTTAGGTAGTAAAAAATTAAAGAAATACATACGAAGGGTCAGTTTTATCTTGCAATTCATATTTCTTAACATATTCTGTGACATATCTTCGAATAGATGATAATGGTAATTCATCTCCTTTCCTGAAAAAAATTTTTTTTTAATATTAAAATTTAGTGGTCATATTACTAATTGATAGTTTAAAAGAATATTAACAAACCGACAAAGAAATTCTGAAAATATAGGATGCAACCCTGGTGTTACTATATAAATCTCTTTTACTGGAGGTGAATATTGATCATTTTCTTTCAACTCAGGATTTTCTTCTATATTTATTTCTTGAAATTTACTGTGACTATGAATTATCTGAGTTATTTCAGCAATACCATTACTACCAACATTAAACTTGATTATACCTTCTACATCCAATAACTGTAAGAACGTTGTTAACTTTTTGAAACTAGTTTTTTTAATATCAAGTTCTATTCCTTCTGGACAAAATGACATTACATATTTCTTATAAAATGTACTGGCTAAAATTGGCAGCATTTCTTTTTTAATACAATGTTTTAAGGCTTTTAATGAACACGTCATTAGCAATTCATCCATTTTTTCAATAATAGTTCTGGTATCTTCTAACTGATTTGGTAAATCATCATTTAATTCAGGAGCATTTTTAAAAGAACGTTCCATCATTAAAATTATATCAGGTATAATGTTTGATATGTTAGATTTAAATAGTTCATCTTTATGATAATGTAACACTTTTAAACAGATATCTTTGTTCTTTTCATGGTTTATTATAATATTTCCATCAAGTATTAAATATCCAATAGCAATAATTTTTTCACACGAGTTGGTACATACACTCACACACTGATCAGCAAGCAATGGATTTAGTAGATGATCATTATTTACAAAAGTTAAATCTTTTATAGTTAGTTCTAATGAAGAATTGAGTTTAGATTTAAAATTCTCATGYAATATTAATCTGGGGACTATGTGAGGAAACGACCAAACCATAAACAATGTTGGATAATATTTGCCTTTAAAATCAAAAACTAAAGCAACTTCTTGAGCACAATAAATCTTTACTATGTCATTGGTGCCAGTTATAACCTTTAACAGTGACAATTGTTTATGATCTAAAAACTCATCCAGAATTTCATTGGTTAAGTTAAAACATTTGCAAATTGTTGACTTGAATTTCTTTCTAAATCACAAAACGAAAAATAATTAATATAATACCAAATTCTTTTTTTATTATTATTAAATGAGCATTTACTGATCGGCGCCTTTAAGAGTTGCATTCGATTTTATGCGGAATTCGTTTTTAAACATAATTGATGTGACCAATTATAATCGATTGTGAATAAACAATTTTTCGAACAGACAGGTTTTGACGTCCAAATAAATCTTTTAGCTWAATAGTACTATTTTAAAACCATCAACTAGTGGCGATAGTTCCTAAGCTGAAAATGAATGTAGTTTAAAAAAATCAGGTAGATCGTAGATAGAATATGATATAATGTTGTTTCAAACACCCCGTGAGCTTACCAGTATAGTTTTGTGCTCTTCTCAGCTTTTGCGATTTATGATAAATACTGAATAATCGCAATCGTTGAGGAATTTGAGCTTTAAAGTTCGTAAAATTCAAATCATAAATTTATTATTATTTAGATTTATTTATCGTGAATTCGAGTGTTAAGACTTAAGAGTTAAGAGTATTTGATGTGATAAGGGCGCACAGTATCGTCGGGGTATCAATTATTACGTTATCACGGAACAAGAACTAAACCACAACAAGTGCCACTAGACAGCGTTGCATTGCACTGCAAGTGACTGTCGACTGACCATAACTTCGCAAAGTTTGTTGGCGACACTGCGGCCACCTATCGGTCTTTTTGTTGGATCGGTGAACTTACCGCACGGTCATCAGTCATTGGAATTGGATAATGATCCTGTGTTAACACTGTTAACTGCTCTCGACGACAACAACAATAACGCAGCCGCGTTATTTTAACGGTTTTTTCTGTTCAGCAGTTCAGCTCGGCCCTCGTATGGATTTTTTCGTTTACCCGTTCTAACTTCTAATCGTGTTACTAATTATCGGTTCAGTATTTGACAGATTAACGGCATATCGTTGCGACGTTTTGTGTTGATAAATATAATTGTATATCAATATTATTAGTTCTGTGACTATGTATTTCGAACGACCTCTTATCCAGTCATAAGACAACTCACCATCAATAATATTTCTGAACTTTGATTCAATTTTAATCTACTGGCTTTCAAAATGTCTCAATTTGTTGTAAGTATTATGATTTATTCTCAGTAACTTTTAAACCTTTGTATTCGAACTGCTTACCGGTGCAGTCTAAAAACTATCCAATTTAATACAATTATAATTAACCACTAGTTTAATAAATATAATTGTATAATATAAGTTACATTTAAGTTGATGCCTGATTACTAATGTGAAAAGACAATATTTTCATTTTAAGATGATTTAAGTATTCAAGAAGACTTTGGAGTAAGAGTTTATATTTTATTTTCTTCTAACATTTTACTCAACTTGAGTTATGTTTGTTAGGTATCATACCTTATTTTATACATTTATTATTCTAAATATCTGAGATGTAATATCTAAACCAACTATTCCGACTTTAATAAGTCTGATGAGAAATTGACTAAACGTTCTTTTTAATCTCAAAATGTACTTACGGATTAGTGCTTAATGAAAAAAGTTTATAAACATTTAACCAATTTACATCCATTGTTATACAGTTTTAAGGATAATGGATTTTCTGTTTTTTGTTATGGTATACTTCAAAATAATTTTAATTTATRYTATACTTATCTAGTTTAAATTTGATTCTGATATTAATAAAACATAAAAAATAAGTAAGTATCTGTGATGTTATTTTATTTAGCATATTATAACAAAATAACCAATTAGAAGCTTAATTATMACATAACATTTAAACACCTAAATGTCACAATTTCAATACCTTTAACATTCCAAAGAATTTGTAAAACGCTCTTGTTTCACCATTTTCTTGGTTGGCAAATTGGTATGAATTTAGGATACCTATTCAAATAATAARAATTTCACTATATTACCTCAATAGTTAGCAGTTTTATTGWCAATGTAAATATTTTCAGTCAATGTTAAGCATATTGTACAAAGTATTTTTAAACTATAAAAAATAAAATTTACATATAAATCTGAAAACACAAAAAAAAAATATTATTACAAATATTTTACTAAGAAAGCTAGGTTTTATAATAAAAAAGCGGGTAAGTCGTGGATGTCGCTCTGCTGTACAGTAGGTTACTGTAATGGATGTGATTAAATTTGAATGCAATGATTAGGTATCATTGTATACKAAAAACGATTCTGAACGGAGATAATTTGTCAGTCTAGGATATATTATATTTAAATATTGTCATATATTCTAAAAAAGAAAAGAATATTTCTAAAAGAAA